ATCGTTCCGACTTGTCTCCTGAAGCCACTGTCTTCTCTCTACTCCCCCATGGGGCTCCATCTCGGAACGCAAGCCTGGGTGACCATAACCGTTCCCGGCTTTCACCGTGACTCCCTAATGCAGCGGTTCTCAACCTGTGGGTCGAGACCCCTTTGGGGGTCGAACGACCCTTTCACAGGGGTCGCCTACGACCATCGGAAAACACATACATAATTACATATTGTTTTTGTGATTAATCACTGTGCTTTAATTATGTTCAATTTGTAACAATGAAATTGGGGGTCACCACAACATGAGGAACTGTATTAAAGGGTCGCGCATTAGGAAGGTTGAGAACCACTACCCTAATGGAAACCTGTCAGTGGAAGCTTTCCGTATCGCAACAAAGTCCCTGTTCACCCTCCTTCCTGCCGCTCCTGCACCTACTCCCCCAACCCCCGCCCAGGCAGGCTGGCTCCCCGCCCACACGGCCCCTTCACCTAGAATGCCCCTCCTCTGCTCTTCATCTCAACCCGCTCCCCTTTCTTAAGGTCTGGCTCAAGGTCCAGGTTCCCAGGAGCTGAAACAAGTCAGAAGCGAATGTGCATGGAATTACCAGCATCTCCCTTCCCACCCGCCTGTCCCGGCATCTGGGTGGGCCCTGAAGGGCCTGCCCTCCTAGCAAAGCCGCACCCCTTGTGCTGAGTTGCGTCCCTTCTCACCCGCCCTAGGACATCACCCAGCAATCACTCTCTCTGTTCTCCGACTGCCATGTCTTCCCTCTTCTGGAAAATTCCCACCGGCAGTCCAGCTGCACATATCATTCCTCTCATTTGAACCAAACAAACCCCTCTTGACTTCCTGTTTCCCACCGGTGACTGCCCCAAGGCTCGACTCTCGCTTAGAGAAAGACGCTTTCAGAAAGTGAGCTATGCTATTCCCGGTTCCCATCCGTGAGTTCTAACAGTGAAGACGGGAAATAACCCGGGCCTCCGAGAATAAGGAAGCAACGGAATGCTGTTTAGACACTGAAACGCATAAAGGCCCTGGCTGGTTGGGCTCAGTGGATAGAGGTCGGCCTGCGGACTGAAGGGTCCTGGGTTCAATTCTGGCTAAGGCCACATGCCCGGGTTGCGGGGTCCATCCCCAGTAGGAGATGTGCAGGAGGCAGCCAATCAATGATTCTCTCTCATCATTGATGTTTCTCTCTATCTCCCTCCCCCTCCTCTCCGAAACCAATAAAAATGTATTTAAAATAAAAGGTATAAAGTTTTCATGAAACATGCACATGATATAATACGACAAACCCATCATAAACGACTGTGTACATATCATGGTCTTCATTTTGTTAAAAAAAGAAGGGAAGACTATGAAGAGCAGCAGCCCACGTCGCGGGCAGCCTGCCCCGCCCACAGACCTGCTCCTCGGACGTGACGTTCAGCTCATCGCGAGACACCAGCTCCAGCACGTCGTCCAGGGGCAGGCCCAGGAACTCCTCCGACACGGACACCTCCACGAAGTGCTGGTGGACGAAGCTGTTGGCCGCGTCGTACAGCACAGCGCACATCATGGTCTCCGCAAACTGGCGCACACCCAGGCAGTTTTTGGGGTGAAGCCTTTTGCATAAGAAAAAAATGGCAAAAATAACGAGACATCAGCCGTCTCTCGGACTCGCTTGTGGATACACACTGAAGGCAGGCTTTCCCTCGGGCTCTGCTCGGGGCCTGGTGCTCTGTGCCTCTGGGTGGGAAGCAGCTCTCGGAAGAGGAGAGAAGAGATCAGGTGCTGGAGACCCGTCTGCTTTCCTTCGGCTGCCGACGTTCCTGGTTGAGTGGGCACCTCTGGCCACCAGGAAGGCACCGAAGGCGTAGAATGAGAGCTTAAACCCCGAGGAGAAGTGACTCTCCAACATCAGGACCTTACATGTTTCTGTGTTTACACAGAAGGAGCCCGATGGGTCCAACTAGTTAGACCCCCAGAAACAGCCCCAGGCAGCCACCCCCAGGGAGCCCAGCGCTTTGCCAGGCCTGTGATCTTTCTCCAGAATCTTAACGCTGCAGAGCAGTCAGGGCTGTCATTTTCAGGTGGAAAATGAGGCTCAGAGAAGCGATAAAGGGCATAATTGGGGCACGAAAAACAGCTCTGGTCTAAAACTGTTCTAAGCATGTTTTGGGGACACGACCCTGTAGCGGCCTGGATCCAGGGTGACGGCGATGCCCGCCACAGCCCCTAGGTGGAGCTGCTGTCCCGAGAGGCTGGCCACTTCATCCTTCCCAGGGTGCCTACTCAGCATTCTCCACATTCCTGGGGACAGAAACTGAATCCAGGCTGCGTCCTTAAGCCGCTTACAAACGAGTAGGAGAGACAGTGTCTGCCCCAGCCCCGACCTGCAGCCCTCCAGCCTGCCCAGAAGGCACCCAGGGCAGGCTCCCGCCAAGCTCTGGGAATGCGGGTCTCCACCTGCCTCACCACGAACCCACGCACCCCGCACCCAAGAGAGCACCTCATGTTGGGCATCGCTGCCCGGGTCACTAAGACCAGCTGCACACAGCGTGCCCACGAGCGCCACCGGCTGGTGTGGCTAGCAGGGGCGGCCACAGAGCTCAGTGAATGGGGTTGGTGGAGGTGAGAGGGAGAGGTCGGCTCTAAGAGGGAGGAGGCTCAGAGGGCAGAGCTGAGGCGGGAGGAAGGCTGGTCTTCAGGCCGGGAACCTGCTGGTCAGAGTTGTCAGGTGCAGACCAGGAAGACACCAGGCACAGGAGTGCTCGGTGCCAGCTCGCCTGCCTGTGTGTAGCCCAGCACTGACCCTCATGTCCACGCCTCTGTGGTTAAAAGGTGGCTTTTACCTTATGATTAAGAGCTCTGCCCGCTTCTGGGGGGCCGGGGGTGGGGGGGAGACTGCTCAGTCATCAGAAGGGCACTGTCGAGTGCTGGGCATAGACAGGTGAGCCCAGTCCTCCCCTCAAAGAGCACAGGGGACCGAAGCCCCAGGAGGCCGCATCTGGGTGGGCTGTTAAAGAGCTGAAGGGGAAACAAGGATGGAGACGTCCAGGAGGGAAGGATCTGAACAGAGGCGGTGTCTGTGGAACGGTCAGGGAGCACCGACTAAACCAGCGCGGTGAGAACGGTCAGCTCAATTAGCAGCTGGTCAGCTTGGGGAGAGAGGACCAGGAGAAGAGGAACACGTCAGGCCCAGGGAGAGAGCAGGCAGGGCCTGCTCACCGTAAACCATGTTCCTCAGGGGTTCAACCCAAAGGGCTGGGCGCCGCCTGGTACTGATTTCAAGAAAGGTCGTTTCTGCAGAGTGGCCTCCCGGCTCACTTCTTCCTCACACTCTGTGCCCCAAAGACTCAGCGAACTGGCAGGGGCTCCGGAAATGAAAAGGTCACGCTCCCCCCAGGCCGGCCCATGCCCTCACCGTTCTTGGAGGAACGTGCAGCAGGCATCTTTGATGCTCTGCAGCTGCAGGAAGCTCGCCCCCATCAGCAATGACTGGACATTTTGCTGGTCGATGGCGAGGTGGCCGTTGTAGGCAAAGTTGATGAGAGCCTCCAGGGCGCTAGAGGGAAGAGGAGAGGTGCTCTTTAGAGACGGGTCTTCCACGAGACTCGGCCCCACGTGGGCGGACAGTTCTGCCTGGGAGACGGAGGGAAGAGGAGAGGTGCTCTTTAGAGACGGGTCTTCGCCCACGAGACTCGGCCCCATGTGGGCGGACAGTTCCGCCTGGGAGACAGGCCCACCCCAACAGCCGTGACATCCTTGCCCTTAGAGAGCCTACTGAATGGGATCCTTCTTCCCCAGAGCCAGACTGTCCCACTTCTTGTCTGTGTTGCCCACATAGTTTTGTTACAGAAAAGTTTAAAAAGAGAAAGGAATCACCCACACATCACTACTGAGCAGGCCCACGGTGTCACCTCCCTAGGCCCTTTCATCCCTCTTTGCATAAACGGTGTAAATCTGTTTAAGACTCACGAGGCCCTTTCCATGTTGCTACACTGCCTTCACGTCTTGTTCTTAGTGGCTGCTATGCAGTATTGCAGAAGGTAAGTCTGCTCATTCCCTTTGTTACTAGGTGTAATAGCTACTACCATCTTACTGCCATTATCAATCATGGTTGTGGACTATTATTTCTTTGGGATAAATTTCCAGAATGAGAATTCCAACATTTTCTTCTCTCCCCCGATGCACAGAGAAGAAAATCCAAATTCCACCCCAGGCCTGCCCGTGGCCTGGCTCCTCCACTGCACGACCTTGTCACCTCCACTCTCCCCCTCACTCACCCAGGGCCTCTGCATGGCTGCGCCCTCTCTTCGGAGGGCTCGTCCCCCAGGTGGCTCACTCCCTCACTTCAATGAAGCTCTGGGCTTCACGGCCACCTCGTCACAGAGACCTTCCTGGCCTCCCTGAATACACAGGCCCCTCCTCATGCGCTCGCCTTGGCTCTGCTCTGCTCTCCTGACATCACGTTCACTTCCCGGCCAGCTCACGCGTGTACCTGTCTATCACCAGCTCACGCGTGTCCCTGTCTATCACCAGCTCACGCGTGTCCCTGTCTATCACCAGCTCACGCGTGTCCCTGTCTATCACCAGCTCACGCGTGTCCCTGTCTATCACCAGCTCACGCGTGTCCCTGTCTATCACCAGCTCACGCGTGTCCCTGTCTATCACCAGCTCACGCGTGTCCCTGTCTATCACCAGCTCACGCGTGTCCCTGTCTATCACCAGCTCACGCGTGTCCCTGTCTATCACCAGCTCACGCGTGTCCCTGTCTATCACCAGCTCACGCGTGTCCCTGTCTATCACCAGCTCACGCGTGTCCCTGTCTATCACCAGCTCACGCGTGTCCCTGTCTATCACCAGCTCACGCGTGTCCCTGTCTATCACCAGCTCACGCGTGTCCCTGTCTATCACCAGCTCACGCGTGTCCCTGTCTATCACCAGCTCACGCGTGTCCCTGTCTATCACCAGCTCACGCGTGTCCCTGTCTATCACCAGCTCACGCGTGTCCCTGTCTATCACCAGCTCACGCGTGTCCCTGTCTATCACCAGCTCACGCGTGTCCCTGTCTATCACCAGCTCACGCGTGTCCCTGTCTATCACCAGCTCACGCGTGTCCCTGTCTATCACCAGCTCACGCGTGTCCCTGTCTATCACCAGCTCACGCGTGTCCCTGTCTATCACCAGCTCACGCGTGTCCCTGTCTATCACCAGCTCACGCGTGTCCCTGTCTATCACCAGCTCACGCGTGTCCCTGTCTATCACCAGCTCACGCGTGTCCCTGTCTATCACCAGCTCACGCGTGTCCCTGTCTATCACCAGCTCACGCGTGTCCCTGTCTATCACCAGCTCACGCGTGTCCCTGTCTATCACCAGCTCACACGTGTACTATCACCAGCTCACGATCACCAGATTCCTCCACTGGAGTCAGTGCAGGAGAGGTGCTTCCGTGTCACCCCTCAGGCAGCCTTGCACACACACAGGTGCTTGGCGGCCTGCGAAGGAAGCGCCTGGACTGTGTGTGGCGATTAGCACGGCTCCTGCAGACACAGACCTCGGAAGAGAGTACAGCTGCCCTGAGGCCCACTTCTGTGTGCTTCCTCCAAGTCCCCAGCCTGCGCCGTCTGCATGCGTGGTTATAAATCCTCTCCGTGCCCTGGGGCCGATACCCTCAACCAGCAGAGGGCGCCACAGGTTCGCAGCCCCTCTCCCTTGTATTTTCACATCGTGAGGTGAGGCAGCAAATGGCAGGCCACTAGCCAGTGTTAGAGTCACTGGTCATTTATTGTCTCTTCCCACGAGAACGTCCTCACCCTGTGCCACCTTGTGCGTCGTGCCTGCTGCTGCATCCCCAGACCCCAGGTCAATGACAGGCACAAGTAGGTGTGCAGGGCACCCTGGGATACAGCCCAGGTTACACACACAGCCTCAATTCATAGATCTGCAGCAAATCTTTTTAGTGACATAAACATGCCTTTTTCCTTTCACGGCCCAAAAAGGCATACTATGGAACATCCTATATAATCCTATATAATAAAAGCCTAATATGCTAAGTGTCCAGTCGTCCGTTCGACCAATCAAAGTGCAATATGCTAATGATATGCTAAGGCTGTTCAACCGTTCACTATGATGTGCACTGACCACCAGGGGGCAGATGCTCTGACCGGTAGGTTAGCTTAGCTTGCTGCTGGGGTCCGGTTGATCGGGACTGAGACCGGTGGGCACATCCTGGAGCCCTCCTGCAGTCCCTCCCCGCTGACCAACCTCCAGCATTTCTCCCCAGCCCGGATCATGCACGGGTGGGGTCCCTTGGCCTGGCCTGCGCCCTCTCGCAATCCAGGACCCCTCAGGGGGTGTCGGAGAGCCAGTTTCAGCCCCATCCCGCAGGCCAGGCCGAGGGACCCCACTGGTGCACGAATTCGTGCACTGGTCCTCTAGTGTTTATATAAAGTCTTTAGACAGAAACCCGGGAGCATTTCCATGAAGCGTGTCCAGTGCTAAGTGACTCCAGATGTGAGGACAACTTCAAATAAGCCCCTGAGCGATGTGGTCTCGGGGGTTATGGACTGCACCTGCCCCAGGTTCCTCTAGGGGAGAACTTCTCCCCACTATGCTATGCGGCCTCTTGGATGGAGATGTTTGGGGGGGGCCACGTTTGAGCCTGGCATCCTCGGGCTTCAGGATTCTCATCCATCAAATAGCTACGACCTCTGCCACCTTCTTGACCTGTTGCTCCAAATAATACCAGCTACACGCAGGTATTTAAAATTACTTCTAAACGAACTGAAATGAAATACAATTTAGAATTCAGTTCTCCCGTCCCACTAGTCCCACTCCGAGTGCTCAGGTGGCTCGTGGCTCCCGTCCGGTGAGGACGGCAGGACAGTCCCGTCACTGCAGGAAGTGCTGAGGGACGGCACTGCTGCAGCCGAGGACGGGCTCTTGAAAAGTTTGCCAGCTCACACGGCTGGCACAGAGAAGTGCAGAGAATTACAAACCCACCTTTGTACCCATCCCAGACAAAAAATGTATCTTGGACTCTACTGCCTATTAAATGTGCACTCTAGCCGAAACCGGTTTGGCTCAGTGGATAGAGCGTCGGCCTGCGGACTGAAAGGTCCCAGGTTCGATTCCGGTCAAGGGCATGTACCTGGGTTGTGGGCATATCCCCAGTAGGAGATGTGCAGGAGGCAGCTGATCGATGTTTCTCTCTCATCGATGTTTCTAACT